TCTAGTTGAATCCAAGGTAGTAAATTCAATATTAGTACTGTGTGTGTGAGTTCTGATGTTTCTATTTCTGCAGACGAATATGAAACAGCTGTAACAAGCTATGTTGGTTTCACGCTTGTGTGCATTCAAAGCCTTTTCCGCTTCACTATCGTTCGTTCCCATTGCTCAACGCAGCGCCTTATTCCACGCCCTTTTAGCCTGCTTTTGCGTTAACTTAACCTACGTTATTTCTATTTGTTACGTTCACTTACCTGTTTAACGTATGACAGACATAAAGCATTGCTAATATGCCTATGTCATAACTGATTCTTTAAAGTGAAATATTTAATCTCAGGGTATTTGTACAAAAGCTCTTGTGTTTCTCTTCGTTTTCTCTTGCGTTTACTGCACACTGCCGAATCAACTAGTAATGGTGCGAGAGCTTCTAACGTTTTTGCTCTAAGGAATACACAAAAGCTGCTTGTATTCCAGCCTCGCGCACGTTTAGAATTATCTTTGGGTCCTGGTTTTGTGATGTGAAAGCGTGTAAGAAATGGTAGTAACATTGAGGAGTATGTCAAATACTGCGAAATACCCGTGAATTCGATAGTAGCCAATTTGTTACTCAAGTGAGAGAATACAAGATAAAACTAATGCTATATACTTTACAACGGAACCTAAATCTAATCTAATTGTCTTCATAACGTTTAATTTTAAATATAGGATATGCCATGCTTGACAATAATAAGCCGGCCGTTCCTCCAACAAATGCTCAGTGAGACGGCAGAACAAAAAGATGTGTCCAGTTCGATAGCAGGTCTCCGGAAGGTGAGTTGGAAATCAAATTTGGAACAAAGGGGAAATCGTATGGGGATCGGGATTCCGAAGGATTGTAGTATTTCATCTTTTTGCCTTTCGTAGCATTTACTTTATATCCGTCTCCTATCTTGTCCACAAACCTGCTCAGAGGCTCGAGAGCGAATCTTGCAAGAATCTAGATGCGTAGTCTCAACATATCGCCTCAACTCGTTTTTCTAGGCAGGTAGCAAGAACGCCTCCAAATTTGGCGAGAAGATGCGGAAGATTTTAAAGATTGTTTGCGAAATCTCTGAAATAGTAGGAGAGTCAAAACTCTAATCCTTTCTGTAATTCAGATCTCCCGCAGACAACGGAAGACCTCAGATCTCGGATTGGTAAACCCTTTTTTGTTTTCATAATTTTGCTTCCTTACATCAATCACTTCCAATGTAACCCTTGATCCGGTTTATTACGCAATTTTTGATTGGCTCCTGATTCCTTTTTATAAAGAAAACGCACTCCAAGCAAACAGAGCTGCACTCTCCATTGCAGAGGGTGTATCGTGATTTGGTGGACCCTCAAGAGGACATCATCCTCGTTAGGCTCACTTAAAGACCTCGTAACGAGGCCAAACTCCAGCTAACAATATTCGTTTTTGTAAACTGTAAACTACTAATATCATTTCTTCAATCATTATACCATAAGCCTTCAAAGTGTACGAAAGCAAAGACCCTTACATTGTCATAATCTCACTGTTAAAAAACGTTTATATAACAAGGTACGTGCTATTATTTCAAATTCTACCACTTCTCGATCTGAATGCTTTCAAACAGAAAGAGGTTTCTTTTTTGTTTATAAATCCGTCTTGGCATATTTCGTGCCAGTCCAACGTACGCGGCACCAATGTTGCATCGTACATCAAACAGTCTTCAGTCTTCATATGTGTGTGTGTGTGTGTGTTGCTCTTCCGTCACGAATTTAGTTCATTTGCCGTAAGAAAGTCAAAAAGCATTTATCAATCGTGCACATTTAAATGCAGAATACTAGATAAACATGAGCAATTTGTTGTGAGAACGTGGTAAGTTGGTTCATTTTGTTTTGCTATGTACGGGCTCTACGGAAGAGATAAATGCTTGTGCAATGCCTTTCTAGAAAGCGTTGAGAGGCAAGATCAAGCTTTCAACCTTTTCATGGAATAGCGCATGTTTTTGATGGTATCAAATTTTAAGAGATTTATTCTGCTAAAGT